CAGTCACTTGTGTTGATTTATTTTCACACAGCCGCTTGGTTGCTGCAGGCAAAGATGTTTGAGCTGACAGTGGCTCACGGAATGCTTCCATTTCCCCCCGTTCTTTCTGTGGAGCTGGTGCCTGGCTACTTGGGTGAGGAGCAGCTGCTGAGCCTGGCAGGGATCCAGTGCTGAGGGAGCCAGCGATTCTGGAGTCAGGGTGTGGAATCACAGAATCAGGGAACCACAGAATGGTTGGGGCTGGAAGAGACTGTAAAGATTATTGTGTTCCAGCTCCTCTGCTGTGGACACTTACCTCTATCCCAGGTTGTTCAGAGCTCCATCCAACCTGGCCTTGGACACTTCCAGGGATGGGGCAGCCACAGCTTCTCTGGGCAGCCTGTGCCAGGGCCTCACCCCCTCACAGGGCTTTGCCAAGGGCCAGCAGGAGCCAACTGGGAGCTGTTTGAAAACACAGCAGGGAAAAGTGTCTCCTGGAAAGGAGCACACATCTAGGGAGGAATTGAGAGCTTTGCAAATGGCTGTGAATGTTCAGATGTGCTGACATACTGAGGCAGGCTAACAGGCAGGGGTCCCGGCTGTGCAGTGGGAAGTCTGCAATTAAAAGATCCAAGTCCTGGCACCCACTCTTTAAAAGACATGTTGAAAGTTAGAGTGAGCTCAGAGAGGAGCAATACAGGTCTGGAAGGTGAAGTGAGGACATTTCACTGCTTAGAAATTTACAGCATGAACTCATACTCTGCAGTCAACTTTGAGAAATCATCCAAGCTGGAATGAGGTGCAGGTTTTGTATCAGCAAGGGAAATTATCGACTGGAGCAGGAGCTGTGCTCAGGCTTTGCCTTGGGATGGGATGGTTGGTGTTTGTGTGTTGGGATTGTGAGAGGAGGATCCTACCCAGTACAGGATGCCCAGGGTCCTTTTGAGACACCCCTCACATTGGGGTGCTCAGGAACCAGAGGAGCCACAGCATTCTGGAAAGATCAGGAAGGAGGTGGAGGGAAAGAAGATGCAGGAGGGTGAGAAGGACGAGAGCAAGCAGCTAATCAGGGCAAGGAAAGGGAAAATAAACCAGGGTGGAAGTGTGGAGAAGGAGCATCCAGATGCCCAAGGACCAAGGGCATGAGCTCAAATGTCCTGTGCCGTGCTGCCTGAACACTCCCTGTTCTAGCCCCAGGTGTTCAGTTCCCTCTGTGGGAGATGGAGCTGACAGCTCTCCCCTGCCTAGGGCAGCAGGGAAATGCCCTGGGATGGCATGCTGTGCCCCTCTGTGCCACAGGACTCGTGTATAATGTGCTCTCAGTGCTGTGGATGAGCTGCTGCTGTGCCTGCGCCTCCCTGCGTTGCACTGATGCTGCTCACACATGAGTTTTTCTTGGGGGGCTGCAACTTCAGGGCAGTGTTGGCAGGACAAACATCAACAAGTTCCCTTTTCTCCCACCTGCCACAGACTGGGAGCACAAGCATTGGAACATATTTGGGTGTAATTGAGGAAAACAAAAACAAACAACCTTAACAGCTTCAAGAATTGTAATTTGCACTGTTCCTGCAACACTGGTAGCCCAGGATTTGATAGGAGTCTGTGTCCCATATTTTCCCCAGGAATTACTCAGGCTGAGCACGTCAGGTTTCCTCATAAGTCAGTTCCTTCTGCACCTGGAAGGACAGCAGGAGCTGTTTCTAGAAGCAGGCTGGCTTGTTTTGCTTTCTGCCAAACCTTGACTGCAGCCCTGCAGCACAATTCTGTGCTTGTGCCTGGAGCTGGGTTACTGTCAGCAGCCACCCTGAGCCTCTGAGTTTTAAGGAGCCTCTGATGGGATCTCTTCCTATTTCCCTTTGTGCTCCAGGGACTTTAGAGGGTTCCAGCACTCCTCCTGGGGTGGGAACAGCTGCAGAGCAGCTGGGGTGGGGACACTGCTCTGTGCTGCTGCCATATTCCAAAACGTACAAAACGCGGTGGGGAGTTATCTGCTGGGACGGCTTGGATGAAAGATTCCAGCCTCAGGGCAGCAGTGGGTTGTGCTGGTTATTTTCCATCTTGTGTGGCAGTGGAAGGCTGAGCACAGAGAGGAAGGGCAGTGGCGCAGGCCCGGGGCTGCAGGAGCTGCAGGGAGGGGCTGTTGGCTAAGGCTGCGCTTCTCTGCC